TTTCAGTGAGGACAGGATGTTTGTCATCATCAACAACTGTTAAATATGAATAAGTAAGGTTACTGATTATTTCAAACTTTATTCTGTCATTAGACAAACCATAAAAAATTAAGGCTCTTTCGGCCTTCAAATCCTCGGGTAAATATTGAACAAAGGTTTTAGTTACCTAAGAAAGGTAGTTAACTAACTGAAACACTATTTGATAACTTTTCCCGCCCTAACTGGTAGGTCCATTCGTTAGGTAGTCCTAGTAGAAAGCAATACGTTTATATTAAATTGTAAAACTGCTATTTGAATATTTGTCCCTGTATTCAATTTACTAATAAATGTTCATCTAATAAAAGGATTCTTTGCACTTGAGAGACTCTAAATACCTTTATTGACTAAACTACTTGTAAAGTAGGGAAAATACGTCTTTTTCCTAGCAAAATTCTGGTATTAAAGCTGGTATATATGAATCACAAACTGAAATTTATGATGTCATTTTATACTATCTAAAGCTACTGAGATCTTGATATGATCGAAAAGATTTGTAACTCAGGATGAAGATGATAGTGGTTTGGTGTCCTCTGAGCTTTGATATTTTGTAGTGAACGTTTCATTATCAGGCTTAGTGACAACCTCAGCACTATTTTGAGTGGCTGAAATACTAGTTTAATCGGTAAGCATCTAGTCTCTACCTAAATTCCATATAGAAATGCAAAATGGTGAACTGTGAACAAATGAAGTTTAACGATACATGTCAAAAACAGGTAAAAATAAGGGCTGAGACATGAAAAGTCTATTGGAAAACAGAAAGACAGATTCAAAGTGAAACAACCTTGTAGATGCACTCAGTTTAATTTCACCAGTTTATCATTACTACGGGAAATGAAGGGAAAAGCAATAACATACTTAGAAAGTACAAATACTGACTTACATAGGGACATATTCGTCTCATAATATTGAATTGTTTTAATTCCTGCATGTTGACCAAGAATATGGGTCGTTATTGTTCAGTAATTTCTAGGAACGACTTATGAAATTTGCTGACGGCGGATTAGTTATTACTCTTATTATATACTGAAATACTGTGATATAGTACAATCAGGAGTACTAAATAACATTAAGCAGCCTATTTAAAAAATGGTTTTGTAAAGTAACAAGTATGCAGAAGAAATTGGAGATGGATTGGGCATATACTGAGAAGGCCGATTGGGGACATCACATATCAGGCTATTCCATCGAGTGGAACCCGTATGGGAAACGACGAGTTGGGCATCCGAGGGGAGGGTGAAATGGAAGAGATCATGTGAGGAAGAAATGAAAGCTTGTGGGCAGTCGTGGCGCAAGGTTAAGATGACTGCGGAGAAGAGAGTGCAATAGAGGCGTACTACTGAAGCGGTATGTTTCACTAGGAACCCAATGGAAAAATAATAACAATATAATAAAGTAAGACACACATCAGTCATCGCTGAAATTCAAATATCCACAATTTTTACCATATATATATCTGACATTATAAAGTACAGTCTCTATTCCTGTCAAAATTATGCAAAATTCATCTGATACAAATTTGTGACCGATATGCTGTGAGGTTTCCTGATATAACAGTCAGTTTATATAAATTATTAGTCTTGGTACAGGGATCACATATGCTTTTCATTTTCTGTATACATTTGTGATTGTGAGCTGACATTTGGGGAAACCTTTCAGTCAAACAAAATTTCACTAGCATAGATCTTATATATCAACTGTTCATAAAAACAGTTCATAGATATGGTAGAATGGTAAAGCGTTTGAGTTTAAATATTTATGAGAATGAAATGGCGTGCGTAAAAGCTGATAGTAAAATACTGACATAAACAACACATTATTTAGTAGGTGTTCATCAACTTTCAGTTTATTAATTATCGTTGATTTCTTCATCTGGTGAGCTAGTCTTTTCTTCTCACTTCAGCACCATAATACTATTTTACTATTCATAGAAAGTTTGTGGAATTCGCTATTGGATTAGATATCTAAGGGTAATATAATAGTATAACTTCTTAACGTAATTCTCATATTCACTTTCTTTGCCACACTACATCAGTTCCTAAAATCATCTTATCACATTAAAGTAAGTTAACTTTTTACCCATTTGATAGTCATTTGGCAAACTGTATTCAACTGGTAAGAACTAAGGTGATGAAATCAATTTTTATTGAATCAGATATAAAATAGTTGTGACTGAAATAGTAACTGAACGTAGATTTGCATTCGACTATTCTTACTAACTACGAACTGGTTTGTGATGTGTTCTTGTTATATAATCCTAAAGTTTTATAGAAGAAATATGGTACATTACCACCTATCTACTGTATCAAGTGGTCATTTGTTTTGCTGATTGTCAGTAAATATATCAGAAGGAACTTCTTTTAACTGACGGACAAAAAGAATGTAGACACTTACCAAAGTTCAGTGCTTTTAAGATGAGGCTTGCTGAATGATTTTTCTATTTATTAGTGGTATATCCTAGACAGCAACTTTACATTTGTTTTGGATTTACTAGTCAGTATGCATTTGTTTGCAGTTTACAGATATGCTTTTGCTTGTATCAGTTGTAAATGAAACCTAAAACTTATACTGTTTCTATGAGTCTGTTATTTAATTGACTCCAATGCAGTATGCAAGCTAACATAATGGCATCTTCCTAGGCTTGGAAGATAAGCATAAACTGCCAGCAGCTAGACATCCGGAGGACATTTTATGTGTAGTTGGCAGTATTCCAGTACATAAATCTTCCTTATAGATTATCCTATATTTTATCAAGTTGATCACAATTGATCTGTCATTGTACGGCATATTGATTCAAAAAGACCCTCATTGTATTTAAATAGTTAACTGGATATGTTACTGTTTGCTAAGAAGTCATATTTCAGTCATTTATGGAGATCCCTTATGACTACAATTCTTCATTAAATGAAAAAGTGTAAGTAAATTAGACTTGTGATGTATCTTATGTTCAGTTGTTTGAAGGAGTGCCAGACAAGAGAAAACCCTGGAACCTACTGAACCCAGTACCTGTTTCATGAAAAGTGTAAAATGACGTAGTCAAAAGAATGAAGTGAACTAATTGGCAATTAGTCACTATATTTTTACTTTAAGCACTTTCTAATGTCGCATTTTAACAAATTCTGGTAACCAAAAGTCATCAGTCCTTTTGAAATGAAATTTATTGACTTCATCCTGTAAATGCTTTCTTCAGGTCAAGTACATAAAAACCAGATAACTCATACAGGTAAAATTTTGTATCCCATGGAAAGATAACATTTGAATTTAGCTAAGACCTTTTTTTATATCCTAGAAGTACGTCATTATGTATATGATCTATTATTATGTTTTGCTGCGTGTATATAGCAAAATTCAAAGTATGCAATAATCTTCATCCTGTGTTTCTTAGTTGAACGGTATTAACATTTTGTACACGATAACATTTTCTGAATTCGTTCAACTACCCAAATTATTTTCTTTAAAGCTTACAGAAGAGATTAAGAAGAAAAGAAAGATATCCATTAGATATCTCAGTGACTACTTGTAAAACAAGAAGCATAGAAGTGTTTCATATTTTCTATCATATTGTTAATCCTGTCTTTTTTCTGTGCGATGATCCACTTAAATTCATTCCATGATTGACTTAACATGATGATCTTAAAACACAAGAATTCTACAGACATCAAACTGTCCTACGACTAAGGCTGCGACCTGAAAATGGTGAATACAAAATTTGAAATGAGGTATTTGGGCAATAGTTGATTGATAAGAAGACTGTAAGATTATCATTCATGCAGGCACTGAAGCCTGGAAGATTTTGACACCTTATCTCCCTATCATGTTCGCCGTCTCATTGACTGTCTTAACTACGTAAAGCTCTGTTCTTTATGCAGCATCCTCCGACTGAAATAATTATCATTACCATCTATTAGCTGACCTCATCTAAGCACGCATCAGAATTATATTTTCCATGTAGTGTAATATTTTCACGACTCTGTGACTGTGTCAAAAATGAGCTTTGAAGACGACAGCTGACTAAATTCTCCGCTTTTGTTAGTTTAGTGCAATTCATGATGAATAGCGGAAAGCAATGGATTCCATGAAGTGCGTTCCTTCCTATTTGAGACTCATCAAATAGAGGTACATGCCACGCAGTGATTGATGTTGTTTGTCTTGGAACTCAAACATAACAACCACCTCTTTAGAAGCCATAGCTTATTCACTAAGCTATTGAGTTATAACGGTTATGTCTTGTACAATGGGCACAGTTTGATATTATGGTTTACAGTTTGTCGTAGTTAATTGATTTGGGCCAAACTGGGCCACCCCTTCTGGTATGTTGCCTCCGGTGTGGATGTTTAGTTATTGTCAATAATTGTATTTCGTTATCGTGGAAGATTATTACCAGCAGTTCTATCCATCATTAGTATAAGATTAAAATTGCAGGCCCAGTCTACGAAGAGAATGTATGAACCACGATACTGAATTAATGTTATGTGTAAACGAATGTATAAGAGATATTTTAATTGACTTTTAGGTCATCACCTAAAGGGAGCGCTTGCATATCGGTTCAAAAATGTTAATTTTTTGGCATTAGTTCTAAATTTACTTTTATGGGTGTTCTGAGATTAGAATAAGTTGACGAGAATGCAAATAGCACCAAATGTGTAGATAGTAGAACTGTTCAATGCACATTTCTATCATTTTACTGCGTTTTTCCTTTTTTAAGGAATAGAAAAATAAGTGAGGTTGAGATTTAAAGACTGTGATACACGTTTTCATATACATATATAAGCATTTATGTTATACTAGTACTTGGGAACATCAATATAGTTTTACTGTATTGGCTTCACGGTCGTACAGCTCAAAAATGATGAAGCTAAATGTAACTATTTGTAAAAGATAATTAAAATGATCTATTCAGATTGTGTGATGATTGCTAACGATAATGTAACCTTAAGCGTTTGAATGCCCAGAAAATGACATACCTTTTGAAGTTTATACAATACCGGTATAACTCCAGACAAATTCAGAAATTTTAATTCATCTGAAATATTTCTCTTATGAATATGTGAATATCGTACTTTCCAAGCCAATTGACCAAGATGATGAATGTAAGTTTGTAATTCATTTACTCTATTCCATAGGAACGATGTTGATGAAGAAGAATAGTGTGGTGATGATGATGATGTTGCCGTAAATATAGATGATGTGGAGGTCAAAAATGATCTGGATTCTATGGGGACATAATTTTCCAGTTCTTCATAGGTTGGCAGTTCTGGTAGTTCACAACGATCAAGCTGAAATTGTTAGTAGGATAAGTAATTAAGGAGATAGCGAAAGTTTTACTTTATATCAAACTCAGATAGATATGGATTTTTTAAAATGAATTACAATTGAAAGTTGAACTCTTTGTCAAAACGTCATTTGTTGAAACCTTTTACGTTACTCAGTGATAACAAAATTATCTGCAGTCTAATATTCACTCATGAATATTTGAGAAACAAACCCCAATTCTTTGAATATTGAAAAACCAAACAAATAACAGAAGACTGATGACTGTATCTATGTTTTCACTGGCCATCTATATACTAATAAGTGGTCCTAGTATTGCAGAAGCATTTTTTGAGGTTGTTTGAATCAACTAATGTCATTTCACCCAGTCACATATTGAAACATAAAATCTTATAATTTTCCGGAAGCTGATTCTAAACGCTTTCAGACATTTCAAGCTTCCTAAACAGTCTATGGAGTAAATAGTAAGTATTCTAACAGATGACTGGTGACAACATAAACACTATTGCATTTTGTCGATTTTTGGCCATTCTTTAAAGATGCGAATAACATGGCTAGTTGTGTATCTGGTGGGACTGAGCAAGAAATAACTCGAACATGAACTGCTTAAAACCACTTATTTTTTCAGTCCCTCTACTGTATTGATAAAATTTGTCTTCTTTTGTGTTGTCAATTATTGGACTGACCTGTGAAAGTTTATAATCATGCCGTTAATAACTACTATAAAATTTAATGCAGCATAGATTCAACTTTGGTTGCAAAGTTAAGGAAGCTGAGTTGATTGTTGGTTGGGATGATGATATGTAGGGTTGGCGAAATAAATTTTGAGATGTGATTTATACTAGCTTTCAGATTGATATCCCTAGCTTAAAATTTCCGCTTCATGATACTGGTCTGTGATGTATGCTTCACATCTAGAAACCGCTAGTGTTTGCTTCTCATTTTAACTCATTTTTGGTGAACGTTCATCACTGAGAAGTTTCTTATTTCTTAAATCGTCTTAGTCAATGTATGTTTGCTAATTTAGTAGTTTGTAAAATGATTGGTGTAAGATTTTCGAAAACTTTTCACAAATCTCTGTTTATTACGCAGAGTTTTCTCTTTATTGCTTTCACTACAGGAGTTGAGAATTCACATGACTGAAGGTGAGCTTTCTTCCTAACGGTTCCTGTTTTTGTTAGTTATAGTCTCCATTATGTATTTCGTTCACAAAGGATAGATAAGAACTTACCACTACTACAAGCGTTTTCTTTGATGCGAAACTTCCCCTTCATAAATTTTAACAAGGTTATCCGAAAACTGGCTCATGATGAATGTATTGGTCCATATGGTCAACCTATTATTAGACAGCCATAATCTGAATGAAAAAGTGTTTACTTTTAATTAGCTCTTCATCACTGAGCTTAGGTCAATATATAGGGATTTATCCTAACACTATAATATAATCAAAAAGAAGCCTGGTTGCTATGGTTTACTCAATAAAAAATTATAAACATTTTGACAAAAACATTTAGAGGATGATAATCGATCGAGAGAATTCACATAATTAAAAAATGGAACAAATGTATGTGAGGAAACAAGCGAGGTCAGAACAGGTTGATAACTAACTAATAGGGTGTATAATAATCATAACGAGTAGGATTATTTCTGTACACTTTGTTTGAGATGAATTTTTCGGATAGTTGCTATGATGAATTTCTTTAGAACACAAGGTTTTTGCATGTTCAAATAGATTATAATGGCTTTTAATGCATTTAAAGGATGTTAGTTGGATGGAGGTAGTCGGCAGGAAGCCCAGGACCTAAGTTTCCTGATTATTGGCACTGGTCAGCGAGGTGTGTCTGCAACTCCGACGGGACTGATGTCCTGCCTGAGATTTGAACCTACGTCCACCAATGTTGTAGACAGCAACGTTACCACTGAGGTATTCGGGCCACAAATGACATCCTATAGGAGTGGATTAGATACATTGGTTGGTCACTAGAGGGTAACCAACTTCATGTTATCTTATCTTATGTGCAGACCGAGTTCTATCGATCATTTTGCAATATCGCCACCAGACTAGGATGAGGCTAGAGATGATACTCATTCACGTGAATTCATTCTCCTGTATCAACTGAGTATCTGGGACTGAAACCTCTTACTTGTCTTTTCTTTATGCAACGGTGATAGATCATATTCAGAAATGGCATGATAAGCTTGTCTAATCAAACACTTTATTTAACTAGCTTAATAGAAGCAGTTTTACTGGAAAATGCATACAGAAGAGGGTAATATCAACAATCTGTTTTTATTTCGTAAACTCAGAAATAATTTGTCAAAAGAATAAGTAGGAAAAAGTTGTCTTAACGAATGCCCACTTCAAAGCATTTCTCTAGCGCTATGCTTTTAATAAGTCCGAAACTCAAGAAATACGTGTGCTAACCGAAGAAAGTTGGTTTCTTTAATATAATATAATTTGTTCACCTCAGACACCGAGTACTACATCCACCATATTCTTGTCGGATGTTTGAAGAAGACTGCTGAATGAACTCTGTTTAACTAGCATGGTAATTTGATATTATCATTCTGACCTTCCAAAATTATGCGGCGGTAATAGAATTCTTACATTTTTATTGCATCTTCCAGTTATCTTTTCTCTAACTCTGGTGGACAGAGGCTCAGTAGGATTCTCCCTAGTGTCGATCACGTGATATTATCATGAGACTGCCTAAAGAGTCCTTTGTCGGAGAGAAGATACCTGTACATTGTGCATCTAAAACAAAATGACTTCAAGGAAGATACAGAGACTTTGATTCTCATTGTCTCGGCTTGAAAATCTTTTTGTTGACGTCTTTTACTCCAGTGGTGGGTGAAGTGGGTTCTAATTTTCAAGTGGATATCAGCCTCTTAAAGTCTGCATTTGTGACAGTAAGTGCGAACTGCTGATATTTGTTTTTCCCCTGGAAAACTCCTAACATCTAACATAAAACAACATTGTACTTTAATATCGTATAACTTATTTATCCTAAGGGACGCACTGTAAGATTGATCACAAGACTTTGGTGAATGGTAAACACTTGGGAATTAACAGATTCCAAGAGTGCCATCTACTGAACAACCTGCAAGGACACAAGATCTTGAGAAACCTTCATTTGTTTGTGAGACAAGTAAGACAAATGCAGATTCTGAACTATTTCTAATGCCTCTGCCTCAAAACTGATATTTTATTTATTAACGACTTCTGAGTTGTCTTACAACCACATTCACATATGTAAAGCATAATTTTAAGAGTCCACTTATGAGATAATAAGTTACTTTATTGTTATTTTAGCTGATTACGTAAACACTCTTTGTTCCATTTGAGTAGTGGGCTATAAACAACAAAACGGATAAGTCAAATATCAAAGATTGTAAAGCTCTTAGTCAATTCATTCTGTGAATTGGTTATGAACACATTTTATACTTTCCGCAAATAATAAGGAATTTACACAAGGTGATGATTGAAGGTAAAATGAAAATTAAAACCACAGCCGGGTTCAAACGAGTGACCAGCAGTCGGATATCGTAGCTGAGTTGATAGATCATAGGACCGGCAACCTGGTGGTCACTGGTTCGAATCTAGCGGTGGTCCAAATTTTCATTTTACCTTCAGTCATCACCTAGTATCAATACTACTCTGCCAAACCACGGTTGTCTCAGATAGTCAAAATGATAATAAATTTAATATTCCTTGCTGTTTCAAGTGTTGAAATGTCAGTACTCACATAAGAGTCATCTCTAAGCACTTGGTTTTCAACCCACAGATCAAGGGTTCAAATACAGCTCCACCTACTGATGTATCGACAGCCAGTTTTTACTATTAGTCTTTACAAAAATAGGTCCAGTTGGCTACCTATCGCAAGAGTATACATGTGGTTGTTGAGTCTGTATATTCCATTTTAATTGACGCAATCTACATGAGTTGACGACTTTATGATTCATGAAAATGTAACTATATCATCGTTAATAATATTGAGATATAATGTTATTGCTAGTATTATACCATCGTTGATTGGACAGAATTGATCGGTCTCTGTTGGCCTATGGGCTGCTACACGTATGGCTCAGTATTGCCTGTGTTTTAATTACATATAGTGATGATGGATGGGAGACACACTGGACAGGGGAGAAGAACCTAGAAGATTAGGATTTCACCGATGACTTGTGTCTACTGTCACACAAACTCGAAGATCTACAGGCAAAATCCAATAGGTTGACAGAAGAGGCATGGTAGCGATGGAGACTGTACTTCAAGTGAACGCAGAGAAGACAGAGGTGATGATGATACCCAAACAACAACAACAACAACCACAACAAGCTCCAGTCACCATCAACGGGAGAAACTTAAAGGAAATAGCCTCCTTCATCTATCTAGGCAGCACTGTTTCAACTACAGGCGGCACAGATGAGGATGTCAAAACCAGGATTGTATAAGCAAGACAGGCTTTCATTAACCTGAAACCAGTGTGGAGATCTTCTATACTTAACATGTGGAACAAGATCTGGATTTTCAACACCAAGCCAGTCAAATCAGTGCTTCTTTATGGTTGAGAGATTTGACGCGTTACAAAAAGCATTTCCAAAAAACTACAGACATTCACCAACAACTGTCTACGTTCATTACTGAAACTCGGATTGCCAGAATAACAAAAATAAGCAACAAGGAACTCACTATGGGTGGTTGGCAACGAACCAACCAAGAAGCTATCACTCAACAAATATGCAGAAAGTAGGGGAGATGGATTAGATTGGCCATACGCTGAGGAGAATGGCTGAGAGCATCACGCGCCAGGCTCTCGAGTGGAACCCAGACGGGAAGCAACAAGATGGACGTCCGGGGTGAGGATGACATGGAGGAGATCGTGTGAGGAAGAAATGAGAGCTTGTGGGCAGGCTTGGAAACAGGTTCAAAAGATTGCAGAGAATAGAGTGCACTGGAAACGTGGTAGTGAAGTCCTATGTTCCACTAGGAACGCAAAGGACA